TTGTTCCCCACTTTAGCACCATAGTCGCCCCCCATCACTGAGCTGTGCAAGAAGGAGAAGCCAGACAAGATGGTCTGGACCGAGCAGTGCCAGAGGGCTCTCTGTGCGCTGAAGGAGGCTCTAGTCAGTGGCCCGGTTCTACCATTTATTCCTGTGTGCCCTGACCCTTCCTTAGAGAAGCTGAAGGCCCTTGCTCGCCCCAGCGCTGCAGGATCCCACGGGGAGGACAGCCAGGAGATATTCCTGTGGGAGAAGGGATTCCTCTACCGGGAATGGGCTGGTTCGGGGCAAACTGAACTTTGGAAAGCCAGGAGGCAGTTGGTGGTTCCCCAGAGGTACCGCCCCAGACTGTTGTACTTGGCCCATGATCTCCCCCTTGCGGGGCATCCGGGCATCCGGCACCAGGCAGAGGCTGCTGCAGAACTTTTACTGGCCCGGGGTCTTTGACGCCGTCCAGCCGCATTGTAGGGCCTGGGACTCCTGCCAGAGCAGGGGAAGGCCCGGGACAAGGGGAAAGCAGCTCTGAGACCTTTGCCCATCATAGAGGAGCCTTTCCAGAAGGTGGCCATGGACATAGTGGGGCACCTCAGCAGGGCAACTCGGTCAGGGAAGAAATACATTCTGGTGGTGGTAGATTTTGCTACGCGCTACCCTGAGGCAGTGGCCTTGTCCTCTATGGAGGCAGACACCGTGGCAGACTGCTGCTGACCATTTCCAGCAGAGTTGGGTTCCCCAAGGAGGTCCTTACACACTAGGGGTCTAACTTCATGTCAATCCTGCTCCAGTGTTTGTGGGAGAAGTGTGGGGTGCGACACACCTGGGCCTCAGTGTACCACCCTCAGTCCAACGGGCTGGTGGAGAAGTTCAATGGGACCCCAAAGATGATGCTGAAAACCTTTATGGACCAGCACCTGCAGGACTGGGACAAGCATTTACCTCACCTGCTGTTTGCATACAGGGAAGTGCCCCAGGAATCCACAGGGTTTTCCCCATTCGAGTTGCTGTATGGGAGGAGAGTGAGGGGACCCCTCGACTTGATGAGGGCTGAGTGGGAGAGGAAGGCCTCTCCCGATGGAGAATCAGTGGTGGAGCATGTCCTGACTTTCCGGGAAAAGCTCGTGGAGCTCATGGGCTGGGCCAGAGGAAACCCAGCCAGGGCGCAGAGGAAGCAGAAGGTCTGGTACGACCGCTCAGCATGTGCCTGCTCCTATGCCATCAGGGACCAGGGGATGCTCCTCATCCCCGTGAGGAGAGACAAGCTGCAAGCTGCCTGGGACGGCCCCTTCAAGGTCATCAGACAGGTAAACGAGGTGAACTATGTAGTGGAACTGTCCAACCAGGCTCACAGCAGCCGGGTGTATCATGTCAACATGATGAAGCCGTACTGGGACAGGGAGAAGTTGGTGCTGGCTGTGTGTGGGCAGAGGGAGGAGAAGGGAGAGGATCCCCTAGTGGGACTCCTCCCTGAGGCTGGTCCTGACCCCTCGCTGGAGCCAAATTCCCCTTTCAGACCAGCTCACCCCTGCCCAGCAGGTCGAGATCAGAGTGGTGCTGCCTTCATACCGGCAGCTGTTCTCCAACCAGCCTGGGCTCACTAACCTGGCTGTGCACAGGGTGGAGACGGGAACGAACCCTCCCATCTGGTGTTCCCCATTCAGGGTCACTGGGAAAACAGCCCAGGACCTGGGGAGAGAGGTCGGGGACATGCTGGCTTTAGGGGTGATCCAGCTGTCCTCCAGCCCCTGTGCCTCACCCGTGGTGCTGGTCCCCAAGAAGGACGGGTCAATTCGGTTCTGTGTGGACGATCGGAAACTCAATGCCATCACCGTGTCAGATGCCTACCCCATGCCTAGGACCAATGAGATCCTAGACAAGTTGGGGGGTGCCTGATACCTCACTACCATGGATCTTACCAAAGGCCACTGGCAGGTGCCTTTGGACCCAAAGGCCAGGGCGAAGTCTGCTTCACCACCCCAATAGGGCTCTTTGAGTTCCTGGTCCTTCATTTCAGCCTCAAGGGGGCACCTGCCACCTTCCAGCGCCTGACGGACCAGTTACTAAGGGGGATCGAGGACTTTGCTCCAGTGTATATTAACGATATCTGTGTCTTTAGCCAGACCAGGGAAGAACATGTGATCCAGATGAAGAGGGTGCTGGGTCACCTCCAGGATGCTGGACTGACCATAAAAGCTGGAAAGTGCAAGGTGGGGATGGGCCACAAGGTGGGGCGTGGCCACCTGAAGCCAGAGCCAGCCAAAGTGGAGGCAATCAAGGACTGGCCCGCTCCCCAGACTAAGAAGCAGGTCAAGGCTCTCACTGGGATGGTGGGGTACTACTGGAGGTTTGTGCCCCACTTTAGCGCCCTGGCAGCCCCCCTCACGGAGCTTGGTAGGAAGGGGAAGCCAGACAAGGTGGTCTGGACCGAGCAGTGCCAGAGGGCTCTCTGAGCGCTGAAGGGGCACTTATCCAAAGCCCGGTGCTGGTAAACCTGATTTTAACAAACCCTTCCTGGTGTTCATCGATGCCTGACACGGGGCTGGGTGCGATGCTGATGCCAACTGATACTAAGGGGGAAAGACACCGCAGTGCATACCTGAGCAAGAAGCTGCTGCCCCGGGAGCAGCACTATTTGGCTATAGAGAAGGAATGCCTGGCCATGGTGTGGGCCCTTAAAAAACTACAGCTGTATCTATTTGGACGGCACTTCACGGTGTGCGCTGACCATTTGCCCCTGACGTGGCTGCACCAAATGAAAGGCCAAGCTGCTGAGATGGAGCCTGCTCCTCCCGGGGTATGACATGGAGCTGGTCAGTGTGAGGGGGAGTGCCAATGTTACAGCCGATGCTTTAACACGGGGCGGGGGGCCCTGAACTTCCCCAGGTCACTGGCTAAGTGACCCCACTCAGTTCAGACTCGGAGGGGGGAGAGATGTGACGAAGTGGGGGTTTTCTTGTTTTTCCTTGTTTTTTCCAATGGTTTGCATGCAGAGGGAGTGGGACTCAGTTTCCCTGGGTGTTCCTGGTTTAACGAGGGTGAGGGGAGAGGGAGTTTGTCATTACAGAGGACCGGCAACGGAATTTGGGACCCCAGCCAATGGCCTGGAGAATGGATACCCCAGCGACTAGTGACCTGGTGATCTGGTGACCGTGAGGCCCAGCTCAGGAGTTACAGCCAGTTCTGGCCAGTGGGCTGCGAAGAGAGGACCCCGGTGACCTGACCAGTCGGTTCCAGCCAGAGGGGGCCAGAGGATGGAAGAGAGGAGAGGAGGCCCAGGCGACCCTGTTTACCTGGAGAGGAGACAATGGACAGAGGTGGGACTTGGGGGAGGGGATATCAGATGCCCAGCTGGAAGGGGGCTCTGGAATGGAGAGAGGGAGCAGGCAGAGTCCACCTGGATGCAGAGGAGCCTTGGATGTGCTGTGCTGAGGGAGGCCAGGCCTGAGGGCCCTGAGAGTTTCCTATGCTGTGTTCAGACGCTCAATAAACCCTCCTGTTTTACGCTGGCTGAGAGTTACTCCGGTCTAGAGAACAGGGTTGCATTATTCCCTCTGGGAGTGGAGGCCCCAGGGATCCAGAGAGAGGGAACTTGCTGAGGGGGCCTACAGCGAGAGACAGGCGTGCTAAGGCTCAGAGAGGTGCGGTTCCAGGAGGTGAAAGGGCTTAACCCCTGAGAGAGAGTGGACAGCCCAGAAGGGCTGTCTCACTGAAGGGGGTGTGATGGTGCACCCCATAAGGTTTTATGGAAATATGCTTATGAATGTATATATATGACATAACTGGAATATGTTTTATGCTACATATGCCATGTAACATATCTATGTAAAGGTTATGATCTACTGAATATATTCATCCAATTTGTATGCATGTGTCATTGTTGTATTTGAAGTTATGAATATTGGCTGTATACTTGTTTGATTTTAAATAACCTTAGTAAGGCATTTGGTCAGCTTCTTTAATGAACAATGGATGTTGGAAGGCCCCAAACCACATAAGAGGTCTTCCTGGAGACATTCAAGATACCATGTGGGCAATGGCTGCTGCCTCTAAAAACTGAGTCATGCATGGACATGTGACTTGCCCAGGTGACTCCAAAACTCCATCTTGGAGCTGGACTTTGCATAGGAGAGAGGAGGGGGTCTCCTCCCACAAGAGAAAGTCTATTTAAGCCCGTGGGAGACCCCTCCATTTTGTCTTCAGCTGGCTAAAGAGGTAGCCTCTCCACCCCCCAGATACCTGAAAGAAACTGGAACAAAGGACAGTAACTACAGGGGGTGTGAGTGAGTGCTGGACCCAGACTAGAAGGAGACTAGTCTGTAAAAGGAAGCTTACTGGAATTCCTCTGAGGGTGAGGTTTTTATCTGCATTCAGCTTTCTTACGGTATTAGACACAGATTTGCGTGTTATATTTTATTTTGCTTGGTAATTCACTTTGTTATGTCTGTTATTACTTGGAACCACTTAAATCCTACTTTCTGTATTTAATAAAATCACTTTTTACTTATTAATTAACCCAGAGTATGTGTAAATACCGGGGGGGGGGGGCGCAAACAGCTGTGCATATCTCTCTATCAGGGTTACAGAGGGCAAACAATTTACGAGTTTACCCTGTATAGGCTTTATACAGGGTAAAACGGATTTATTTGGGGTTTGGACTGCATTGGGACTTGGTCATCTGAGTGTTAAAGACAGAAACATTCCCTAAGCTGCTTTCAGTTTAAGCCTATAGCTGTCAGGGGACGTGGTTCAGACCTGGGTCTGAGTTTGCAGCAGGCTAGCAGGTCTGGCTCAAACCAGGCAGGGCACTGAAGCCCCAAGCTGGGAGGGCAGGAAAAGCAGGGGCAGAAGTAGTCTTGGCACATCAGTTGGCAGCCTCAGGGGGTTTCTGTGATCCAACCTGTCACAGGGGGTTCCCCCCAGGGATCGTACAGGGCCAAGAGTGGGCACCATCTATGAGTCCATGTCTGGGGTCTCCCCCAAGGAAAGGGGGTCAGGGATGATACCTGTCCGGAGTTAAATCTTTCTCCTTTTTCCCACCTTTCTTCCCTTTCTTTTGCTGGGAAAAGAACAACAAACCTTAACCTCTAAGCAGGCTGAGAGCCCCCACCACCACCACCATGTAAGGGTCCTCTCCCCGTCTCCATGTCTCCAGTGCCAGCCCCCCACCCTTTCTGAGAGTCCCCCCATCTGTGGGCCGAGTAATATCACTCCATCCCCACTCGCTGGCATAGGTCCCCAGGGCTGTCCCCCAGTGAGTGCACCCCCTCGCCTTTGGGGGGCCCTGGGGTACAGGACACACCCTCTGACCTTGTTGCTCTTCTTTGCCATGTGAGATTTCCCCTCATCTCGATCCACAGCCAGTTTCAGTAGCTGCAACTCCTCTTGCATCAGCTCATCCACCTGGGGGGAGATAGCCCTTGAGACAGCAACTGGGGCCTCCCCACAAGCCCAGAAACTCCCCACTGAACAGTCTTCTTCCCTACATGAGAGGAAAGTGATCAGGAACAGCCAGCATGGATTCACCAAGGGAAGGTCATGCCTGACTAATCTAATCGCCTTTTATGATGAGATTACTGGTTCTGTGGATGAAGGGAAAGCAGTGGATGTATTGTTTCTTGACTTTAGCAAAGCTTTTGACACGGTCTCCCACAGTATTCTTGTCAGCAAGTTAAGGAAGTATGGGCTGGATGAATGCACTATAAGGTGGGTAGAAAGTTGGCTAGACTGTCGGGCTCAACGGGTAGTGATCAATGGCTCCATGTCTAGTTGGCAGCCGGTATCAAGTGGAGTGCCCCAAGGGTCGGTCCTGGGGCCGGTTTTGTTCAATATCTTCATAAATGATCTGGAGGATGGTGTGGATTGCACTCTCAGCAAATTTGCGGATGATACTAAACTGGGAGGAGTGGTAGATACGCTGGAGGGGAGGGATAGGATACAGAAGGACCTAGACAAATTGGAGGATTGGGCCAAAAGAAATCTGATGAGGTTCAATAAGGATAAGTGCAGAGTCCTGCACTTAGGACGGAAGAACCCAATGCACAGCTACAGACTAGGGACCAAATGGCTAGGCAGCAGTTCTGCGGAAAAGGACCTGGGGTGACAGTGGACGAGAAGCTGGATATGAGTCAGCAGTGTGCCCTTGTTGCCAAGAAGGCCAATGGCATTTTGGGATGTATAAGTAGGGGCATAGCGAGCAGATCGAGGGACGTGATCGTTCCCCTCTATTCGACATTGGTGAGGCCTCATCTGGAGTACTGTGTCCAGTTTTGGGCCCCACACTTCAAGAAGGATGTGGATAAATTGGAGAGAGTCCAGCGAAGGGCAACAAAAATGATTAGGGGTCTGGAACACATGAGTTATGAGGAGAGGCTGAGGGAGCTGGGATTGTTTAGCCTGCAGAAGAGAAGAATGAGGGGGGATTTGATAGCTGCTTTCAACAACCTGAAAGGGGGTTCCAAAGAGGATGGCTCTAGACTGTTCTCAATGGTAGTAGATGACAGAACGAGGAGTAATGGTCTCAAGTTGCAGTGGGGGAGGTTTAGATTGGATATTAGGAAAAACTTTTTCACTAAGAGGGTGGTGAAACACTGGAATGCGTTACCTCGGGAGGTGGTAGAATCTCCTTCCTTAGAGGTTTTTAAGGTCAGGCTTGACAAAGCCCTGGCTGGGATGATTTAACTGGGAATTGGTCCTGCTTCGAGCAGGGGGTTGGACTAGATGACCTTCTGGGGTCCCTTCCAACCCTGATATTCTATGATTCTATGATTCTATGTTCCCTCCCCCCAGGCTCCCCGCTATCCCTCACTGTCTTCTGCTTGGGATGCACGGAGAACAGTGGACGGCCATCTTCCCTGACGGCAGCCTGGCTTCCATCCCACTGCACACAAGGGGCATGGCAGCCATCTTCACTAGAGGCAGCCTTGCAGCCCCCCACAAGGGCTACAGGGGCATGGCAGCCATCTTGGGTGACAGCAGCCGGGGCTTCAGTCCAGCTACAATTTTAAAAACCCACCTAACATCTTGAGCCAGTGCCCAGCTCACACCTGGGGGACCTGGGAGCCCCATTCATCCTCCAGCACTGCTCAACCAGGTGAACCCAGAGCCCCAGCTCCCCTAAAGCAGAGACCCCTCCACTTAATCCCTGAACAACAGAGACTTATCCCCCCTCACACCAGTGGAGCTGGGAGCCCCACTCACCCCCCAGCACCCCGAACCAGGGGAACCCAGAGCCACAGCTCCCCTAAAGCAAAGACCCCCCACTTATTCCCTGAACAACAGAGACTTATCCCCCTCACACCAGTGGAACTGGGAGCCCCACTCACCCCCCAGCACCCCTGAACGAGGGGAACCCAGAGCCACAGCTCCCCTAAAGCAGAGACCCCCCACTTAATCCCTGAACTAACAGGAACTTACCTCCCCACCATGCCGGGACACCTGGGAGCCCCACTCACCCCCCAGCACCCCTGAACCAGGGGAATCCAGAGCCACAGCTCCCCTCCCCTAAAGCCAACCTCAGGGGACCTCAGAGCCACCCCACACTCAGGATGCAATCCCTGGGGCAGTGATTCCTCAGCAGGGCGAGCCCCCTGGTATCCCCACGACACAGCCCTGTCTCTGCCCCTCACTTGCAGGCGCAGCTCCTTCTCCACCTCCTTCCTCTTCTGGGCTTTGATCAACTCTGGCTCGTAGCGCTGTTCAAAGTTATTGGACTCATCCCGATTCCCCCAGATGGCTGCAGGGAAGGGGGACAGGTCAGATGCTGCTTTTGCCCCTCCCAGCTCTGCCTTCCCTCCCTCTCCTCCTGGGGGCACTGATTGCTTTCCCTTGGGGTGTCCACCTTTTCACTGTGTGGACCACATTTTAATAGGGAGAATATCTCAGCACAACTTCCCTCTTCCCATCCACCTCCCCCCCCGCAATTTTATAATCACGCAACAACCCCGGGGTATCTATAGCAACCACTTACATGGGAAAATAATATTAGGAAAGGATTTAAGCCCAGTAAAGTTCTCTGCATTTTAATCCCATACAGCAGTGATCCCATAAGCAAAGCCTAGCCATGCCCTGCAGGCACCTACGGACTCTCAAAAGAAAACTGTCTCAAATGCACGTGTGACAGTCTGGCTAAGATCAATGAGGCCCAAGGAGCTCAGTGCAGCCTGCGGATAGGCTTCCAGCTCTCCATGTCAGCAGGAAATGACACAGTAGCACAGTGACTAATGCCCAAGGCAAGAATATGCCAGATTTTACAAAACCAGTTGCCCAATGTGAACATGTTAGTGACCCAGGATAACAACCTAGCTGTGTAGGGAATGGTATTACCGGAGATGGCACAGCTGCCTCTGTGCCATGGCTTCATCAGCTCAGCAATGGCAGATCTCCCTGGTGTAACACAAGCTCTGTGCTGGTTGTTCCCCAGCTCAGCCAGACCCTAAGCCCTGAGCTCGGCCTCCCCTGCCCACAGGGTGGAGGGTTCAGGGGTCGTGGGCACAGGGGGGCAGTACAGGGGATGAGTCGTCTTGGTCTAACACAGCAAGACCCAGGCAAAAGTGACTAAACTCCAGTAACTGGGCCAGGCCGGATATTCTCATCCCAGGCCAGAAAGTCACAACTGCACCACCCAAGCCAGGTAGCAGAGTCCAGGGCCGGGTCTCTCTGTTAGTCCTGCCCTAACCTGCTCACAACCCCCCGCCACCCTGCTCCTGGGTCTGTACAGGTCAGAGCGGTGCTCTTAGGTCCCCCCACTGCCCCAGGCTCAGGTCCCCCTCACTCTGATACTGTGTGAAGCCCTCGCTGATCACTGGCAGGAATTTGGACAGAGCCAGTTTCAAACCTTCATCTTCTTCCTGGAAAAAAAACCCCAAACCCAGCAAGTTACTAAAATGAACTGAACCACTACTGGGGGGAAACCCTGGGGGGAGCCCTACGACACAAGGAACAAGCAGTGCCTGGCCCTGCCCCAGAACTACCCTCCATGTGCCACCATCAAACTCTGCCCCACTCCTTCAATCCATGTGCCCCCCTTGCTCCCCACATTTGGAGTACTCTATCCCTGCCGCGGGGCTTTCCCCTGCCCCACTACCAGCCAGCCTCTCACCTGTTTCTTGTCCTTGCCTTTCTTCTGCTTTCCTTCCTTAGTCTTCTCTTTATCTTTCTTATCCTTCTTCCTCTGTCCCTCATCTTCCAGGAGGTCCAGCTCAGCTTTGACCTGCGGGAATCCCAGCCAGCTGGACCTACCCCTCCGTGCCAGAGTCCCCAGGCCACAGCAGGATGTGACTTGGGGGGGGAGGGGGGAGAAGGCAGAGCTCCTTGAGTCTCCAGGGGGCAGGCAGCTGCTCCTGGCAGAGCTCAGGGTGCAGCAATGTGGAGGCGAGTATAGCTGAGAGTCCTTTCTGACCTGGGGCTGGATCAGAGCTGGCCCCTCTTAGCGGAAAAAGGCCCCATTTCCCATTCCCTGTCCACCTGAGCCAGCCACTCTCCAGCTCAGAGCCAGTCACCCGTATTCCATTCCCCACACCCTGGGCTGCATTGGAGCTGGTGCCCCCTATAGAGGAAAGGCCCCACTCTCCTGCTATCGGCACATTAGCCTCAGCCCCCTAGCCTGGGTCCTGCCCTGATACCTGCTCTGGAGTCTCTTCTGCAAAAAGGATGCTGGAGCCTCCAAGCTCCTTGTCAGGGAATTCGGGGAAGCGGCCGGTCAGGTCGCTGTGGAAGGAAAACATGAATGTCAGCACTCAGCCGTGACCCAGTGAGCATGTGTCACGGAGTGTGGGGGAGTCCAGGCCCTGCACCCCTCTTCCTGGGATCCACTGAGACTCTCAGCCAGCCAGTAAAACAGAAGGTTTATTGGACAACAGGAACACGGTCCACAACAGAGCTTGTGGGTACAACCAGGACCCCTCAATCACGTCCTTCTGGGGGAGCAGGGAGCTTAGACCCCAGCCCTGGGGTTCCCTGTGTTCCTCCACCCAGCCTCCAAACTGCCAACTACAACCCACCCCGCAGGTTCCCTGCTGCAGCCTCTGTTCACATTCCTGGGCAGAGGTGTTACCTCCCCCCTCCCCCTCCTGGCTCAGGTGACAGGCTCTCAGGTCTCCCATCCCCAGGGCACATTCCCAGGTCAACACTCCCCCCTCCCTGCTGCGTCACATCGTCACAGCATGTCCCAGGCAAAAGCCCTGTGCTAGTTCGTTAGCTGCAGGCCACTGCCAGGTGCGCCCTGGGGATCATGGGAGGCCTGGGCAGTGAGGGAGCCGAGGAGAGAGAGGGCAGGCTGGGAAGTGTGCTTGGACTGGGGGAGACAGTGAGCAGATGGGTCAGTGCGGCAGGCAGGGCCGGCTCCAGGCACCAGCGAACCAAGCCGGTGCCTGGGGCAGCAAATGTAAAGGGGTGGCAGGACGTCAGGCTCTGGGGTGGCAATCAGCCCTTGGCGGCGGCAGGAATTCGGCAGCTGCTCCATCACTCCGCCTCTGTGTTCGGCGGCAAGGTTTTTTGTTTTGTTTTTTTGCCGCTTGGGGCGGCAAAAACGCTAGAGCCAGCCCTGGCTGCAGGTTTGGCTGGACGGGGAGACAGTGGCACAGGGGTGGGCTGCAGAGCACTGGGATGGCATAGGAGGAGTGGGGTGAGGAGTGTGGTGACTGCGGGGCAGCAGGGAGCCCAGGAAAGGGATGGGAACATGGAGGGGCATGGGAAGGGCCCATGCAGCCGTGCACACTCACTGGCACTCGATGAACCACTGCCGGAGCTGCTCCTTCATCTCCTCCCTCATGGCAGGTCCCTCCATCTCGTAGAGCCCTTCCTGGATGCTCATCAGGGCCTGCTGGTACTCGGCTTCATAGTCAGCCTGCCGCAGGCGTCGGAACTCCTCCCCAAGCTGGGCCCGCAGCATGGTGCCTGACAGGCCCAAGGCCTTGGGATCTGGGGCCTGCAGGGGGAGGACCAGAAAGATGGAGGGCAGGAACATGGGAACACCCCTGAACTGACCAAGGTGGGGGGGAGCACGAGCAGGACAGGGCACTGGGGCACAGGCCCAGCCCTGTACTGACCGGGGGTAGGGGGCAGGTTGGGAGACTAGCAAGGGGGATGTCAGAGCCATTAGCGCTGGCTGGATAGATCTCAGAGCCTCCATTTCCTGCCATGGCAGTGGGCCCCAACCCTGCTCTGGCCTTGCTCCCTTGTTTCCCCTGCCCCGGTCTCTGGTCCTCTGGGTGCAGGCGGTAGTACTGGGTGGCAACGAGCCGGGAGAGTGTGCGACCTGGAAGGGACATTAGCAGCATCAGGGAGAAATTGTGTGCGAAGGCGAGCAGTGCGTGTGTAAATTGCCCCGTAATGAGTTTGTAATATGCATGTGTGGTGCTTCCCGCGCGCGGCGTCATCACAATGGCACAGGCACTTTCCTGCCTCATTGCCTCCCAAATGGATTTTAAATATCATTCTGAGGACACAATTATTTAAAACGCTGAACTAAACACGCGCTAATGGGAAAGCGGCGCGTGGCCCACACCAACCATTCCTCACAGGGGCTGCTCTCCGATCCACCCCACCCCACCCCATGACCACTCGGCAAACCAAGGAGCTCTCTGCTTCCCTCGCAAACAGCACAAATGTAGTCAGGAAAATCCTCAAGGAAGCAGAGAAAACTCCTGCCATCCTGCAGCCCCTCCTTGCCCTGCAGCCACACTCCTGACCTCCCCCTGCAGCCAACTCCCCACTGCACACCCCCACCTCTCCACCCTGCAGCCTAGTCCTCTCCACTCTACCAGGGCTGCTGGAAAAACTTGTATAGCGGGGTGCTCAAGAGCCATTGAACCAAACTGAAAACCCTTTATACAATAGTCGGGCTCAACGGGCAGTGATCAACGGCTCGATGTCTAGTTGGCAGCCAGTATCAAGCGGAGTGCCCCAGGGGTTGGTCCTGGGGACAGTTTTGTTCAACATCTTTATTAATTATCTGGATGATGGGATGAATTGCACCCACAGCAAGTTCGTAGATGATACTAAACTGGGGAGAGTGGTAGATAAGCTGGAGGGCAGGGATAGGATCCAGAGTGACCTAAACAAATTGGAAGATTGGCCCAAAAGAAATCTGCTGAGCTTCAACAAGGACAAGTGCAGAGTCCTGCACTTAGGACGGAAGAATCCCATGCACCGCTACAAGCTGGGGACCGACTAGCTAAGCAGCAGTTCTGCAGAAAAGGACCTGGGGATTACAGTGGACAAGAAGCTGGATATGAGTCAGCAGTGTGCCCTTGTTGCCAAGAAGGCCAACGGCATATTGGGCTGTATTAGTAGGAGCATTGCCAGAAGATTGAGGGAAGTGATTATTCCCTTCTATTCGGCACTGGTGAGGCCACACCAGGAGTACTGTGTCCAGTTTTGGTCCCCCCACTACAGAAGGGATGTGGAAAAATTGGAGAGAGTCCAGCGGAGGGCAACGAAAACGATTAGGGGGCTGGGGTACATGACTTACGGGGAGAGGCTGAGGGAACTGTAGTTATTTAGTCTGCAGAAGAGAAGAGTGAGGGGGAGATTTGATAGCAGCAACCGAAGTGGGGTTGGGTTCCAAAGAGGATGGAGCTCGGCTGTTCTCAGTGGTGGCAGATGACAGAACAAGGAGTAATGGTCTCAAGTTGCAGTGGGGGAGGTCTAGGTTGGATATTAGGAAACACTGTTTCACTAGGAGGGTGGTGAAACACTGGAATGCGTTACCTAGGGAGGTGGTGGACTCTCCATCCTTAGAGGTTTTTAAGGCCCAGCTTGACAAAGCCCTGGCTGGGATGATTTAGTTGGTGTTGGTCCTGCTTTGAGCAGGGGTTGGACCAGATGATCTCCTGAGGTCTCTTTCATCCCTAATGTTCTATGATGGAAACCACTTCAAGAATTCTTTGAGGGGGGTCAACAAGCAGATCCAGTGGATGTAGTGTATTTAGATTTTCAGAAAGCCTTTGACAAGGTCCCTCACCAAAGGCTCTTACACAAAGTAAGCTGCAATGGGATAAGAGGGAAGGTGCTCTCATGAATTGGTACCTGGTTAAAAGACAGGAAAAAAGGGTAGGTATAAATGGCCATTTTTCAGAATGGAGAACGGTAAATAGTGGTGTCCCCCAGGGTTCTGTTCTGGGACCAGTCCCATTCAACATATTCATAAATGATCTGGAAAAAGGGGTAAAGAGTGAGGTGGCAAAATTTGCAGATGATACAAAATTACTATAGTTAAGACCCAGGCAGACTGCAAAGAGCTACAAAAGGATCTCTCAAAACTGGGTGACTGGGCAACAAAATGGCAGATGAAATTTAATGTTGATAAATGCAAAGTAATGCAGATTGGAAAGCATAATCCCAAGTACATATATAAAATGATGGGGTCTAAATTAGCTGTTACCACTCAAGAGATCTTGAAGTCATTGTGGATAGTTCTCTGAAAACATCCACTCAATGTGCAGCGGCAGTCAAAAAAGCGAACAGAATGCTGGGAATAATTAAGAAAGGGATAGACAATAGGACAGAAATATTGTTGCCTCTATATAAATCCATCGTATGCCCACATCTAGAATACTGCATGCAGATGTGGTCACCCCATCTCAAAAAAGATATATTGGAATTGGAAAAGGTTCAGAAAATGGCAACAAAAATGATTAGGGGTATAGAACAGATTCTGTATGAGGAGAGATTAATAAGACTATGACTTTTCAGTTTGGAAAAGAGACAGATAAGGGGGGATATGATTGAGGTCTACAAAATCATGACTGGTGTAGAGAAAGTAGATAAGGAAGTGTTGTTTACTACTTCTCATAACACAAGGACTAGGGGTCACCAAATGAAATTAATAGGCTAGATAAGTTCATGGAGGATAGGTCCATCAATAGCCATTAACCAGGATGGGCAGGGATGGTATCTGTAGCCTTTGTTTGCCAGAAGCTGGGAATGGGCAATAGGGGATGGATCACTGGATGATTACCTGTTCTGTTCATTCCCTCTGGGGCACCTGGCATTGGCCACTGTCGGAAGACAGGATACTGGGCTAGATGGACCTTTGGTCTGACCAGTATGGCCATTCTTATTTAGAGAAGGGCAACAAAAATTATTAGGGGTATGGAACAGCTTCCATTTGAGGAGAAGCTTAAAGAGAGGAGAGATTAAAGATGAGGAGAGATTAAAAAGACTGGGGCTGTTTCATTTAGAAAAGAGACGACTAAGGCGGGATATGATAGAGGTCTATAAAATCATGACTGGTATGAAGAAAGTGAATAAGGAAGTGTTATTTACTCCTTGACAAAACACATGAATGAGGGGTTACCCGATAAAATTAATAGGCAGCAGGTTTAAAACAAACTAAAGGAAGTATTTCTTCACACAACACACAGTCAACCTGTGGAACTCATTGCCAGAGGATGTTGTGAAGGCCAAAAGTATAATTGGATTCAGAAAAGAATTAGATAAACTCATGGCAGATAGGTCCATGAATGGTTATTAGCCAAGATGGTCAGGGATGCAACCCCATGCTCTGGGTGTCCCTAAGCCTCTTGACTGCCAGATGCTGGAACTGGACAACAAGGGACAGACCACTTGATAATTGCCTTTTCCTGGTCATCCCCTCTGAAGCACCTGGCCCTGGCCACTGTCAGAAGACAGGATACTGGTCTGGATGGACCTTTGGCCTGACCCAGTGTGGCCGTTCTTATGGGGAAGCCTCCCCAGCACAGAGCACCATGGCCATCCTGGGCTCTGGGGTGTGGTGGGAAGAGCCTGGAGTAGATCCACTGACACCTGGGCCATGCTGAGCCTAGCGCTGGCAGAACATCAACGTGGGGGATAAGGTCACCTTTGCCCCCTTCCCCAGGGCTCAATCTTCTGTGCCATGCAGAGCTCAGCATAGAAAAGAGGGCTGGGGGAGAGAGCACCAAGGGGTTGGGAGAGCAGCAGCAGTTATATGGGGCTTGGGCATAGTGCCAGGGCCTGGCCTGCATGTGGGGCTGGGAAGGGAGAAGAGAGGGTGTGGCAGCAGGGTGAAACAAGGGCACTTTGATTGTTCTGAGCAGTGATCAATTCATTCAATACGACACCCTGTTGGCAGGGCAAACTAAATAAGTGCTGTGGCCAGAAGCCACACTCCTCAGTATCTCGGGGTAGCCCCAGCCCCAGGACAGGGTCTCCCTTCCTGCCTTGGGATGGGCTGTGTGGTGGAGCAATGCCTAATGGCGTCGCAGTGCTACGCAAACTCATGGCTTCTTCTAAACCCATCTTTCCTCCACCCAGTGACACTAACTCCTGCAGCTCCACAGAACTGCCCCAATACATATTTGTTGGTTCGGAACGGAGGTAGGGAGCAATTGTTTTTGCCATCTGGCTTTAGCTGCTTCTTGCTTTGCATGGAGTGGAGCACTCTTCTATCCGGCCCATAGAAAGGTGCATCACCCTAGTGAGATTCTTTGCCCTGGGCTATGCAAGATGTCAGAGAAGATGATCAGTGGATTTAGGGAACCGCTATTCTTAAAATGAAATCACTTAAACCAGGCTATTGGGCCTGGTTCTTTTTTCATGTGCTAAGCAGGAGTAATCCAGCCAAGGTCAATGAGATAGCCTCAGGCCCCTACTCTGACTCCATATGCCACTCTGGCAGTGTATCAGGACCATGAAGGGCCTGTAGTTAGGTCAGATGGAATTTCCCAGGGCCAGAGCAAGCGTGGTCTTATTCTGTCCCCACTCCTGCAGGCCCCACTGTAGGGACAGGCCAGGGAGAGGCCTGGTCAGAGCGTTCAGTCCTGTGGGGCTTCGGGGCTGCAGAGCCATCCCTAGGCATCTATGGGGAGGCTGCCATAAAGCGGAGCAGAGCCTGGGGCTGCTCTCTCGCTCACACGGGATCTGATTCAGCCACTGCAGCAGCAGAGTCTGGACAGTCTAGATGTGGCATAAACCCGCCTTTGCTCCATCTCCCCCTGAGCTGTGCCTGTCAGGAGACACAGCATAGGACCTGTCCCACTGGAGTTACACCAATGTAAAACCAGCCTCAGGGAGAGCAGAATCTGGCCCAGTGGAGAAAGGTTAGGCTGCCAATGGGACCTTATCAGGGAGCACTTCTGAAGTTTGTTTGGAGCAAACAGAGGGAACTGGGCCATTACTATGCTGTGTTGGAGCCTTGGGACAGCAACAATCCTGCAGCGCGAATTGGGGGGGATGATTCTTATACCATGAGGCTGCTCCCCAACTTCCCCCAGGGCAGGAGGTGCAGAGAGGGGAGGAACAGGGGCAAGGAGGGTATGCAGTATTCACGAGCGTGCCTGCCTGGGGCAGCACCCAGACACAGAGGGGCTCTGTGGATCCCACATCCCCTCAAACACTCAGGTCCATCCTGGTATTGATAGCCTGGGTGGGGCGGACAGGTTTCCCATATCCACTTAGACACCAGGGTGCATTTCGGTGCCACACGGTGGGGGATAAAGAGATCCCATAAGCCCTCAGACACTGGCGTCCGTCCCAGTCCTGATGGACCTGCCCTGAATGGGGAAAGGGGAGAAGAGAGCCTATAACCCCTCAGACACTGGGGTCTGTTCCAGTCCTCATGGACCTGCCCTGAATGTGGGGAGGGGAGAAGAGATCCCATAAGTCCTCAGACACAGGGGTCCGTCCCACTCCTGATGGACCTGCTCTGAATGGAGAAAGGGGGGAAGAAATCCCATAACCCCTCACACACTGGGGTCCGTCCCAGTGCCATCATGATGGGGTGGGGGCAGGAGACCTCAGATCCTTGCAGACAATAGGGTCAGCGTCTGTTAGGCCTGGAATGACATTTGCTTGTCTGAAATGAAGCTGCCCCCGGCAGACATCCCAGGAGGTCATGGAGGTCGGGGTCCCTAGGGTTTGGGGGTAGCAGCCTGTCCCAGGCAGGACTGGCAAGGCTGCGGAGTGCAGGGTGCAGGTCACCCCCTGACAGCGCTCCCCCTCCCCCGCCTGACCCTGGTGCTGAGCAGCAGGAGTCTGTGGAAGTCACTCCGTCTCTCTCACCGCAGGCAGTGTAGCCGCGGCTGCACTTCATTAGGGGGTTCATATTTCACCCTAATGGCTTTCTCTGCGCTGAAGCCATCCATCACCAGCTCATTTCCCTGCGAGTGCCTTACTGCTCCTGCCTGCGCCATGTGGAACGGTTTCTAATGATGCACTAGAGCAGCGGCCCCCGCAGCACCGCCTCCTTGGGACCCAGCCCAGCGAGAGGGACACAGAGTGGGGCCGCACTGACAGCCGCTCTGGCCTATTCCCACCAGCCATGTACCCAGAGAGACAGACTGAGACCTGCAGGGCCTGCCCTCGACACACACCCAGGGGGAGACCAGCCATAGACTATCCCGACCCCATCCCTCAGCATTCCCACAAAGGGAGGGTGCAGTGGGACTCAAAACCTGCAAACTGAAGTTAGACAAATTCAGACTGGAAATAAGGTGTCAATTTTTGACAGCGAGGAGCTGGCAAATTGGATCCATTTCCCAAGGGACATGGCGGCTTCCCCGTCACTGACCAGTTTTAAATCCCAATGGGATGTGTTTCTAACAGTTCTGCTCTAGGAATTATTGTGCAGCAGGTCTCTGGCCCAGGTCAGACTAGATGGTCACAATGATCCCACAATGGTCTTGGAACCTGTGAAGCTATAGATCGGGAGCAGCTGCTGCAGCACGTTGTGTCTGCCCCCTCCTCAACATATCCAGAGCCACGACACCGACCACAGAGATGTCCCGAGTACCGAGACTGCTCCCACCTAGAGTCAGCTGCATCCTGGGCCAGAGTAATGTGTATTGTTTGTGGGTACAATATATAAATCATAGAATCATAGAATCATAGAATATCAGGGTTGGAAGGGACCTCAGGAGGTCATCTAGTCCAACCCCCTGCACAAAAGCAGGACCCATCCCCAATTAAATCATCCCAGCCAGGGCTTTGTCAAGCCTGACCTTAAAAACTTCTAAGGAAGGAGATTCCACCACCTCCCTAGGCAACGCATTCCAGTGTTTCACCACCCTCCTAGTGAAAAAGTTTTTCCTAATATCCAACCTAAACCTCCCCCACTGCAAATAACCTAATGAATATGAGGGGTGGGGCTTATATTGAGGTTGGGGAGAGAGTACTCGGGGCAATGCCACTGGGTGGGGGAGAGCACATGTTGAGACGGGTTGAGTGGGGAGGGACAGGTAGACAATGCAGCCAGGGCCATGTGTCAAGACTGGGCTCGGGGGCGGGGGGAAGGCACGCATTGAGAGCTAGGGAGGGACTAACCATCCCGATAAAAGCCATCTCCCTCTGTCTCTCCAGCTTAGTGCATCTGCGTTGCAGGCAGCCTTTCCAGACCTGTGGGGAGAAGGAACATAGGGATGTGAGAACCAGGACACAGAGCCATTCCTCCCAGTCACCGTGCTGCCAATCCCCGCCAGGATCCATGGGGCCAGGCACCTCCCTGCACAAGGCTCTCGTCCTGGAAGTCACACTCTCTGTGGGTGCAACCCTGAGACACCCTGTCACGGCTTTACTGGTGTGTGCTATACCTCGCTTGTAAGCCAGCCCCATGCTGTAGCTTTTTACCAGGGTGAGCCCTGGAGCCCTCTCAACTCTGAGACGGGGCCTGTTGGCTTCAGCTGTCCTGGTTCTCTTCCTGTGCTCTCAACAGCAAGTCCAACTGATTTCAAACTCCTTTTGATAGACTTTTACATCTTCAGTAAATATTTGTAGTGATTTAGTACAAGTCTTGCCCAAACAAAACAGCATTTATTGCTGCAGTACAGTACTTAGAGACCCGGTTAGAATGGTGAGCAAAGTTTGCATCAGAGCCCAGTTCTGTGGAACCTTCTTGCCTGCTTTCCTGAGATTCCGTAAATCCATCTCAGGGTGTGTCTACACAGGGGATTTAATCTGAAGAGTTTGATGTGCACCAGGTAACTCTCAGTACAGGAGCTTGTCACGGAGTCCCTGGGCAATACTCTGGAACTGCTCCCCAAGAAGCCAGTCAGGACTCTGGGGCAGTCGCCTTTCTGTGAGCAGCCTGTCTTCAGGACACACAGCTCACACGGCTTCCACCTTCCTGGGTCTGACCTCGGAGCCTTCAGCCTCCTATGCCCCTCCGTGCGCTTCCCACAGCAAGTCCGCCCAGGCGGGGTCCTGGGGAAGCCAGAGGGTCCTGCCCCGCAACTCCGCAGTCAGACGTGACTCTCAGCCAGCCAGTAAAACAGAAGGTTTATTAGACGACAGGAACATGGTCTAAAACAGAGCTTGCAGGTGCAGAGAACAGGACCCCTCAGCTGGGTCCATTTTGGGGGGCCGTGAGCCAGACAACCCCGTCTGCACTTCACTCCATGTCCCCAGCCAGCCCCAAACTGAAACGCCCTCCAGCCCCTCCTCCTCTGGGCTTTGTTCCTTTCCCGGGCCAGGAGGTCACCTGATTCCTTTGTTCTCCAACTCTTTAGCTCTCACCTTGCAGCGGGGAAGGGCCAGGCCATCAGTGGCCAGGAAACAGGGTGTCGGCCATTCTCTGTGTCCAGACCCCTGCACACACCTGCCCTCTAGGGCTCTGCAGTGATCATACACCCTCATCCCACCCCCTAGAGACTTAAGAACTGCCTAGGGGAAACTGAGGCACCCCCACACTATTCAGAGGAACCATTAAGAACAGTCCCAGAGCTGCACTAATAGCATGCACTCAAAAAACCTGCTCCATTTTCAGTTTGCATCGTGTGAACGTACGGCAGTCCACTTTTGTTGGACTTTCACACTGCAAATTGGGAAACTGAGGCAAAGGACACTGCCCAACCTACAGTGGGGTGGGTGTTCATATACGGTCACATGTTTTTGAATCATGGTTGTAGTGTTTCCCCAAATGAATGCAGTGTCCCCTTTTTCCTGTTCATAGAAATGTTCTTCTGTTAGTCGCAGCCTCAGTACTCACAACGGGGCCACTACTGCCATTGGAGGCATCCAGGGGCAGTGCTAAACTTTCCCAAATTATTGGGTGGGGGCTCCAGCTGGTTATGATTTGTATTGTTAAGAGGAACCTCTAGATATTGAACCCCACCCTTGTTGCAGCTGACTCCGCCTGGCAGAAGTGTTACAGATGGAACCCATATGACTATCACCCCCACCAGGGCAGAGAATTTAAAAACAAAAGCAGTTATTTCTCCACTGTGCTCTGAGGACTAGTGGACCCACCGTGACAGGTTTACAGACCTAAATGCAGGAGGGTCCACAATGCTAGGATCTTTTGGACTGCAGTACTAGTCAAATTAGTGGAGAAAGAACTGCTTGCCCCCAGGTATTACTGGTGTGGAGGCTGGGCCAGGTATTCTGGGAGACGCAGCTTATCCCCTAATGCCCTGGCTAATGAAATCATACAGAAGGAAGGTACAGTTTCACCATCGCCTAAGTGGTTGCAGAATGGTACTCAAGTGTGCATTTGGCCGGAGATGGTACTCTTTATGGACTAGGTTCCACAATATTTGTGAGAGCAAGGAGGGGAAGCCTTGCTGATGCGGGGGAGGCTGCGGTGTGAGACTTGCCAGCAAGGCAGCACACAGAGAACACATACACCTGTAGGAATGCTGGCAGAGACACCTATTGTTCATATTTTGAGCTCCATGCCTGAACACGTTAGCCCATGGGTAGGTGGGGACGCAGACAGTGAGAGCACGGAGGTATCACATGGGGGTAGCTGAAGTTCAGAGTTCCGTGTGTGCTTTTGTAAAACCCAATTAATTACTTCAGCTTTATTTAGAGGATTCTCTGGGTAAATGAAATGATGACCCATGATGGGTGCAACACTAACAACCTTCCGTGCACAACAAAATGGGAAGGGGAGGAGTTACAGGCCAGTATGTCCCCTGCCTCTGTCACTTGCCTCTGTCACTTGCTAGGCGAGCTTGAGAGGTGCAAACAGAGGCAATGAACGGGAGTTTCAGAGAGAGTTTGGAGAGGCTTTCCTTCCAGGTGCAGTGCTATGCATGATACCAAGATGACCAGCGATGGAACACTGGTAGTGACCTGCAACAGATGTGCCATGTTCTCTTTCCTGCCTGAAGGCAGAAAGGGTTTCATGAAGTGGCTATGCTCACAGAAAAGATTCTTGGATTGGCAGGGCAACTTGGGATGCTACTGAGACTAAGAGAAGCTGAGGAGTTCCTATACAGCCAGCTTCATGCCCCAAGTTCAAGGAAGAATGGATCTGGAGAGAGAGGAAGTCACAGAAGAGGCCTGGTGATTCATAGCCACCAGAGGCAGGAGGTTACAGCAGCTGGAGACAGAGGAGGATGTGACCACCAGAGAGAAGAGGACCAGGAGGAATTCCACATGGCTAGAAGTTTCAAATCAATACCAAGTCCGCAGCATGGAAACATTGGAAGATACCTCTCAATATCCAGCAGGTTCAAGGGAATATGGGACACACATATGGATGGCAGCTCAGCCCAACCTGTAAGAAAATGAAGCGTGCCTGCAAAGGGTTCTCCAACTGTCCAAGGAAAACAGACAATCATTGTTCAAGATTCAATACTCGGAAGAACCAAAAGAATACGCTAAAGTACGCTAAGGTATGCTAAGAGCTGCATTAAGGAGGCTGTGTTGGTGAGTATCTATCTGAGTGTTTGTTGTGAGGACAGTTTGACTGTGTGCTTGATTGGTTGTTTGAAAAGGGCGGGAACTGGGAGTGCTTTGTTCCAGGTGAGCCTTAAGTGGGCCTGACTGTATAAAACGCTAGTCAGCTGCGAACCAGCTGAGCAGCGAACAGAAGGAGTTTGCCTGGGGAGAGCCCACTGAGGCTTACATCTTGCCGGATTCTCTGAGTAATTACTACAACTCCTGAGGAAGCTCATAGAAGGACGATAATATGGACGGGGGGTGTTCCGCTGTTGTGACCTGCACTGGATGTGCCATGTTTGTCTTTCTTCCACAGGACAGAAGCGACTTTGTCTGTACAAAGTGCAAGCTGGTCTCCATATTGGAAGAGAAGGTTCAAGGTCTGGAGCAACAGGTATCGACCCTGCGTTGCATAAGAGAAACTGAAGATTTCCTGGACAGGCGTCAGGATATGCTTCTACGGGCACAAGGTTCTGAAGATTCAGAGCAGGCTGCACATCGGGGACAGGAGGACGGTGAAGAAATTTGGCATCATGTGACCTCCAGAAGAAAAAAGGGGAACGTCCATGTACCAGCAACGCCAATACAGGTAAGTAACCATTCTCATGTTCTCTCCACAGGTCCGAAGGCGGAGAGTGGACCAGATGATACGTCTGAGGGAAGGAAGCAGAAGGAGACTCCGCCGATTGGAAGGCATGAGATACACTGTCCTAGGGTTGGGGATTCCACAACCACCGCTCCCAAGAGAAGGAGACGGGTGGTGGTAGTCGGGGACTCTCTCCTCAGGGGGACTGAGTCATCTATCTGCCACTCTGACCGGGAAAACCGAAAAGTCTGCTGCTTGCCAGGTGCTAAGATTCACGATGTGACGGAGAGACTGCCGAGACTCATCAAGCCCTCGGATTGCTACCCCTTCCTGCTTCTCCATGTGGGCACCAATGATTTTTCTGTGGAAAAGGACCTAGGGGTGACAGTGGACGAGAAGCTGGATATGAGTCAACAGTGTGCCCTTGTTGCCAAGAAGGCCAATGGCATTTTGGGATGTATACGTAGGGGCATTGCCAACAGATCGAGGGATGTGATCGTTCTCCTCTATTAGACATTGGTGAGACCTCATCTGGAGTACCTTGTCCAGTTTTGGGCCCCACACTACAAGAAGGATGTGGAAAAATTGGAAAGAGTCCAGCGGAGGGCAACAAAAATGATTAGGGGACTGGAACACATGAGTTATGAGGAGAGGCTGAGGGAACTGGGATTTGTTTAGTCTGCAGAAGAGAAGAATGAGGGGGGATTTGATAGCTGCTTTCAACTACCTGGAAGGGGGTTCCAAAGAGGATAGCTCTAGACTGTTCTCCGTGGTAGCAGATGACAGAACAAGGAGTAATGGTCTCAAGTTGCAGTGGGGGAGGTTTAGGTTGGATATTAGGAAAAACTTTTTCACTAGGAGGGTGGTGAAACACTGGAATGCGTTACCTAGGGAGGTGGTGGAATCTCCTTCCTTTGAAGTTTTTAAGGTCAGGCTTAACAAAGCCCTGGCTGGGATGATTTAATTGGGGATCGGTCCTGCTTTGAGCAGGGGTTTGGACTAGATGACCTCCTGAGGTTCCTTCCAACTCTGATATTCTATGATTCTAATATTCTGCAAGGGACAGGCAGACAACAGGACAGCATGCTGCCTTCCCAGCACCAAGACATGAGATGTTACTCTAAGATTGGACAGGCTTCTGAAGTCA